CAGAAAGTATGCCCACGAGTAACCTCAGGTTGATAGCCCTGTACAAAAACGCGCCAAGCTACGAGGTGGTCCTAACATCAAGTTCCACCTAGCCCTATGCTGGGTTTGGGTGTCTTGAGTTATTAGGTTGTTTACAGTTGTAACTGTAAGTGGAAGAACCGGCTCTGGACCATAAAACGCCTGTTTTGAGGCCAGTCGGGCTACTTTATCGGCTCTCTCATTACTTTCCGTTCCAGCCTGCCCTTTGACCCATACGAGCTCAAAGGTGCTGCTGCTTGCTACTTGCTCTAGTGCAAGGTGACATTCGGAAACCATCCTAGAGGTAATTTTACAGTGACCAAGTGTCCACTTGAGATTCTGATAGTTTTGTTCTTTATGTTATGCATAAGAACTGTTCTTGCACTAAGCGTTAATCCTACCAACTCTGACTGGAATACAGTAGGAAGTTTGCCTAGTGGTTGGGTGATATGGAAGTACAGTTCTTTGGAGTAAATACCAGTGCCTGTTCCTTCCATTGTCTTAGATCCATTCGTGAAGATGAATATGTCTGGTTGGGATGCCATATTCTCATCAAAGAAGATGTGATAGTTTTTCCCTAATATGAATTGAGGAGTGAGTGAGTCCGATCTCCCTTCTAGGATAGGCAGTCGCTTGATCGCCTCGCCCAGAATTCGGGAGTGGGGCCCCCCTCAATGCCTCTGCTATTCAACAACCCCTTATTTTTTAGACGCAGGAATGCCAGAATGGCCTACTCTCTCACGTGGAGATCTAGTGGAGGCAGATCCAAGAGGGCCTCCATGACGGCTGTGGGGGTCATTCGCATCGCGCCTGTGCAGGCAAGGCACGCTAGTCTTTGGACATGATTAAGGAGTGCTACAGTTGTGGAGAGTCTGGTTCTAGGCCACCAGACAATTGCTCCATAACAGAACATAGGTCTAATCAAGACAGTGTACAGCCACAGGACAGTCTTCGGGGATGGTCCCCAAAGATTGCCAAAAGCGCGGCGACTTTGCTAGAAAGCCCTATTTGCTTTTTCGGCTTTGAACTGGATATGTTTGCTCCAATTCAACTTTTTGTCAAGTGTGATTCCTAGATCTTTCACTGACTCTGAAAATTGGAGGTGTTTTTGGAATAGCAGGGAAGCTTGAAGACTCTCTACCTTTCTATTCCTTGTGGAGAGAACAGAGGATAACCAAGTACTGAATAAATCAAAGGAATATATGGAAAAGTTATACAAAGCAAATGAGGAACCTGAACGAAAGTCTCGGAGGAGGATAAGGGTGAGAATATTTTGTGGTCAGAGATAAAGGCGAATAGTATATAATGGGATAGAAGAGATACCCGTAGAGTTAATAAAGTGTTTATAGGATACATAGGAAAAAGGAATGAGTATACCTGAAGACTTTCTTAGAGCCGTTTGATACCGCTTCAGAAAAAGAAGGCAACAAAGAAATGCGAGGAATACAGGACCATCAGTATTATAGCTCATGTTGCTCCTGCTGCTAAATTTTGTTGCGTGTGTTGGATAGGAGCTTGAGGAGGATAATGGAAGGGGTAGTGGGAGAAGATACATTTGGGTCCCGAAGGGGTTTGGGAACCAGAGATGCAATCGCAATAGCAAAACAATTGGAGGAAAGCTTAGTTTCTATGACAGAGGCAGAACAGTCTACTTTTCATGCCACTTGTCACTTTACCGGCCCCACCTGTCCCTTTTCCTGCCGCGCCTGTCACACTGCTAAATGTCTAAAATGACTCCTGCCATCACTGACAGATTGACATTAATCAAAAGTATATGGAAATTGAAATTTTATATTAAAATGCGATTTTGGGTAAAATTTAATACAAAACTGATCAGTAAAATGACACTACTAGACTCGGAAATTGAAGTACTCGATTCCAAAGGGGCCTCGTACTTCAATATTTTGCTACTTATTACAGATATCCTGGAATTGCAATGTAACTGGCAGTATATCACGAACGAAATTGTAAGTTTAAAAATATTTTATGAAGGTATAAAGCTCATATCATTGTTTATAAAGTAGTTAAATAATACAATACCACGAAACAAAATGGCTATTGCTATACAAAGTGTTCAATTTAATGCCCACAATACAATTTTATAACCACCAATAACAAGCGAATCACAAAAAAACGGTACAATAATTTGGGTGGCCAGCTACCAACCAATTTAAACCCCAAAACCACATTGCTACCGAGCCAGTGGGCCAATATAACTAAATCTAAATGGTATACACTGATAAGTAATTGACACCAATCCACATCCAATTACACATAACTGCGTAGTAAGATTATCAAAACTTTTCCTTTTCAAGTAAGGGAGTATGAAAATTAAAATTAAATCCAAAACTAGTTTGCAGAACGATCTTGAGAATGGAATCTCCCGTCTTTCTAGCCGCTCTATTAAGGGACCCTTTCTACATCGCGGAAACAATAGAAAATTAATAGAAATAAACTTACAATTTTTTGAAGACCAAGAGCGCGATTTTTGGTTTGAGCTAGGAAGCTGTTCTGTCAAGATTTTGCACTTTTTTTAATGATCTTCTTAGAATTAAATATACAGGGTGTTCCAGTACAAAAATTAAGATAGATCCCATAACTTTTTCTTGACCCCATATACTTATTTTGAAACAATCATTATAATGAAACTGTCTATATCTCTTTCAACTGAGACAATATAGTCAGTCTGAAATTGACAATTCTTTATTTTCTCTCGTGTCTCTTATGCGATCGAATATTTTCAAATTTTTGATTTTACCATTTTAAGTTTGACCACAAAAAAATACACGGCGCCTATATCACTGTTTTAATAGCACTGTCTATAAAGATGTCGAAAATGAGACACTCTGTACATGTTGGAGAAATTTACGTAATTTGAAATAAGGATTGGGGATTGTGAATAATGTGAATAGTATTATTTAATATGATAATGATTGTATAATCCTACCATACTATTTGGTGTAGCACAAGGGGTACAACCCCTGTAATGATGATTGCTATACATGTAGGAGTGATTTTTCTAGACAATTCCGTCAGTTTAAAACAAGTAGCTTAATATGGCGATTGCAGGGTTGTCTATATACCTATTATTTAAACAATCTATCAAGTAAAAATATTTGATTAAAACTGTAATTGACGATTGCTATACACTGTGTCCAAGATAAGGATCTCTTGTCTATCATGGGGATCTCGGAAACGATTCAAGATATTTTATCGACGATCGGAAAAAATTGTGCAATTATGGCGCTGTAGAGAAAGTCAAATTCCGATTACTTTCGAAGATATCCAAGAAAAATTTAAATTTGGCCCTTTTCTAATGTTATTGTGTACAGATACAAAAAAAAACGCTTTCCCCTGCCACTATTTGCGCTCTACAAGAAACCTTTGAGAGATTTTCAATACAACGTTTCGTTTTGGAGAAATCGTCATCACCTTCATTTTTTATGGTCCGTAAAAAAGTACATATACTTTACTGAGTAGCATTTTTTAATACGAATACAACGATGTAAGGTAAAAAACGAAAGTTGGGAACTGTTGGTTTCAACAGGACGGTGCATCCACGTACAACGCCCTAATTATGCGACAAATTTTCCATTTTGCCAGGAAATTTTCCCACCCCCCAGTTAATGTTGGTTTGTCCTTCCCGAATGTCATAATTTTCCTAATTTCAAACAGCACGTCCTTAAACAAATTATTATAACTCGGGATAGCCGAAACAATAAAATTTCTACTGATACCAAAAAAACAGTGAGTTCGGGTTGTAAATTGTCAATCTACTCAACACTTTGTTAGTAAACAACATGTTAATCATATTTTTTTAAAATGGCAGACTTGGGTTGGAAAAAGGACGATTGCTTAACAGTGGAACTTGCTTTTTCTCTGAAATTTTCTTATGGAATGTGTTGTTGTTTTGGTATCAGTATAAATTTTGTAGTTTTGGCTATCTAGAGCCATAATTTGTTTTATCCAACACCTCTATGTTATCCAGTCATTATCATGACGAAATTAAACGAGTAAGGTATAATATAATTATATAACCCACTAATGAGTTATGGACGTAAAATAACTCACTAGCAAGATAAAGTACAGGAACCATAAGTAAATCCATATAAATTTTCTGACTAAATTTTTTGTTGTTTATTATTCCCCATAGCAACGAATTATTGCTTTTGTATTCCATGCACTCTAGCTTTTCGCGGAACATGCAGTTTTTAAGATTTCCACGTTTTAAACCAGCTTGAGGAGGTGTTGGATAAAGTTTTGTATGGTGCACGTGTGTTAATTACAAATAAGTCACTTGAGAAAATAACCCCACTCGGCCTGACGGCCTCGTGGGCTTACTATTTTCTCGCGTGACTTATTTGTAATATAACACACTTATACCATAAATAACTATAAGGCAGCAGCATTTGAAATTTAAAAAGAAAATGTCATTTAGCGAAGTCAATAAAAAATTTACGTTTTTTGATAAAGGGCCTAAAAAAATTATGTGGAAAAGGAGTCTGTCTTGGAGGGGGAGTGATATGGCGACGCGCCGCTTGCAGATCCGGCAGCAAACTAAAACGTGCCGCACTCTCATTGGTCAAAACAGTCAATCGATGAGAGCGTAGCCGCAAACGTTTAAAAGCAGAGCTTTGAACTCTGCAAAGGTAATTCCTGCTTCGACGGCACATTAAGATTTAAGAAACAACCAGGTCTCCTCCTGCAGAACCAGGAGGCATTGCTAGCTCGACATCGCGCCACGGTCCACCAGCCAGAAGACCACGCTCACTCCGACGCTAGCCGCATTTTTATTTAGGTTAAAAGGTAAAAAGAAAGAATTGATATTTGGGGGTTTGTATAGCTACCTATCCTAAAGAAGCAGAGAATTTTTACTCTGCTTTGCACCTGGACCTCAACCAGAGTATGGGATGGTTTTAACAGTGGGACAGGTTGCCTAGGATAAGAACTTTTTAGGCGCGCACATTTATATACTTCAAACAGTAATTAAATTTTGTTTATTCGTACTATCGTGGTCATTTCGTAGCCGATTATCAATTTACATTATCTGTTTATGGGGCAATTCACAATTTCGCCGAAGTGAATGTTCTATGGAATGAGTATTTATTCAGATATGACAGTTGAAAAAGTTAAAAACAAAATAACTTATAATGTGTATACCTTATACATTTGCATGAAATGGACAGAATGGGAAAAATTGAGCTCTTTGAGAGGAGGCGGGCGTCCAGGTCTCCAAAACTAGTTTATACGCCACCTCAGTTTCGCCTTTTTGCCTTCGAAGTGTTTCGAAAAACCTTCTTGAAACTCGTCATCACTACGTTCGACACACAAGTCAAAGTTGGGCGTTTTCGCGTAAACACACACGACTTCTGCTGCATCAGGAGGAGCCAAATCCAGAATAAACCGTCCACTACTTTTAAAAGCCCATTCGGATATCCTTTCATAGCACGGACACTGCCAAGGATTTCCGGATATGGCGATCAGCCTTAACTTAGGTCGTAGCGCTTCTAACATGCCATTAGAGATATACGTCATGTTATTGAATTCGATATTCAACATCTCAATTTTCGAAGGAGGGTGTATATTAATCTTCAAAGTTTTTAATCGGTTTCTATCCAAATTAAGCCATCTCATATTTCTTAATCCTTGAAATGCGTCTTTGTCGATGAACTCGATTTGATTGTTAGCAAATGCGAGGTCTTTAATACTAGGTAGGTTGAAGAAGGCCCGCTGCTTGATGTCGCGTAGGGAATTGCTTGAAAGATCTATCGCTGTCAGAGCGGGTGTTCTGTAAAACCAAATTTGATCAAAATTTTCTAGCTTGTTTTCGGAAAGCACGACGGATGACAACTTTGGAAGATTATTAAACGCTCGTGGTAACACCTCTTTGATTTGGTTTGTATGTAACCCCAATTTGTTTAATGACGGTAAATCTTTAAAGGAACCTTCGACGATCAAACTCAGCTTGTTGTTGTGTAAATCGATCAGATAAAGTTCAGGAAGATTAATGAAAGCTCCCTCCCTGATCAATTCGATGTTGTTTCCACTAAGTGTCACCTCAAATTTGCTCAAAATGTTTTGCAACGCACCTTCATTTAAATCGAGTACGTTCTGATTACTGCACGATATATTGCTAATTACCCCTTTAAACTTAAGTGTATCCGGTGAAATACACCCGCTGATAGTTTCACTTTTACCGTTCACTTCCACCAAGGTATTATCGAATGTCGAAGGTCCATTTCCGCATTGCAACGATAACTTGAGATTTACTAGCAAGAGTATTAAGCACGCCTTGATCATAGTCCCAACTCTGGTTAATCACGCAATGATACTGTAAAATAAGCTTGTGCACAAAATTGATTAAGATATAGTTAATTGTGTCGTGACTGACCTTTCAACCATATGCTTTGATAAAGTAATAATCCTATTTTGACGTTGTGTATGGGAATTCCTTTATACGTGTCAAATTCTAGAGTGTCATCGGACATACTGGGGAACTCCATGGTCAAGAGTCCTCTAAAAAACTTGTTCAAAAGTTATATCCAAAGCCCAAATTTGCAAAAGTCATAGATCAGTAAACGCGGTAACGCATTTCGTTGGATGAAATCGCCATGATGAGGTAATGGGATTTTCATTTAACGACCATTCTATCTGATCGAATAAACTGGAAAATCTCGAATTTCGGATTGGGTTTTAACATACAATCAATGTAATTATTAATGATGGCATAACATTGAAAAAACATCTAAATGCTGTAATGCTCTTGGAAAAATTGTGCTAATGCAATAATCATTCACACGCAACATTCTTCCTCTTCCTATGCACTGCCTCAAGTTTATTACCTATAATTATATTTACAGACTAGGTAATGATTAAAAAAATGACTACTATGATCTCTCAATAATGTAAATTTGAATAATAAGGTGCATCGATTGCCGCCTGAGGGTAAGCAACCATCCCAAGCAGCTTCTATAGGAGAATCAGGAGTTTTGAATTCTGCAACTCCGATGTTTTTGATGCTGGCTTTAAATATTCGATAGTTTCTTTAGGACCCTGCTTCATACGTTGTCGTGCATCTTCTCCACTTCCCCATTTTTATTGTGAATAATGGACTGGATAGGCTGAAAGGAGGTAAGATAGAATTGGACAGAATTTTGGTGAAATAGCATTTACCCAAACTTTTTGAGCGTTCTTGAATTGACTGCAGTTTAGATTCCGCAAGTACAACATTGTTTGGGGTTGTTCTGCTGAGTCCTAAGGCAGTCCTCAAGACAAGCAATTTGGACTTTTTCCAATTTTTCAACACGAATAGTGGCTGTCGGGAAATAAACAAAACTACAGTAGTCAGCGAACAAAACTTTTATATACGATTAATAGAGTGCTTGAATGAGATCCCCATTTGACGCCGCGCGCCGTACAGAAATTTTAGAATGTTGGATCTAGTAGCACATTTTCTTACAACTGAGTTTAGGTGTGGTATAAAACTGAGTTTATAACATTGAATAAAAACACTATAAGAAGCCTAACCCCGTGGAAATAAAGCGCGACAGAGATTGAACTGAGAATATAATGGAAACACTGTCAATAGTGTCGATTCTTGAACTGAGAAGAATGAGAATTTGCTTTCCTCCTATTTACCGCAAAGAGAGTTCGGAGATCACAACCAATGCGGGTGCAAGGGGATTTGTCGCGCTTTCTTCCATAAGCGTTAGGCTTCTTATAGTGCTTTTATTCAATGGTTTATAATCAATAACAATGCCAAGAAATCTGATTGTCTCACATGCGACAATGTCCTTGCCACACAGATTTAGGATTGTTTCACCAGGTTTAATTCTTTTACAATTTATGTGAAGAAAGGCAGTTTTGTCAGCTGCAAATCCCACACCGATTTTACCTAAATTTGCATTTGTGATATTAACTGCTTGTTGAACAAGGGATTTAGACTTTTCAACATTTCCATAAGTACAGTACATTACAATGTCATCGACGAATTGAGATATAGTTACAGTTTTAGGAACGCCCTCAGTGATATCCCTTACCTACATAGATGAAATATCGCAGTGGGCTCAAAACACCACCTTGTGGAACTCCTTTGTGACTGAGTCTAAAACCTCTTTAAGAGAATCAGAGAAAATCATTCTATTACTGGTGATATAATAGTCGCGTTTAGAGCACCCTATTTCAGCTAATTTGTCCAAAAGTAAATCACTGATGAGCACGTTATCATATGCAGCTGGCACATTAAGGAAAGCTGCAATTAAATCTTTCTTATTTTTATTGCTTGTTGGGCTTTAAGGTGTAAACTCAACCATATTGTCAGTACAGGACTTTCCTTTTCTAGAACCTGATTTTGTAATATTCGCAATACCATTGTAACCTAATTTTTAGTAAAGATTGAAAAAGTTTGCAGAGATGGGAGATGGGTCTAACACCTCTATTATTAGGTTTATCAAAAAATAAGACAAAAGACTTTTTCCATGATTCGGGATAACAACTTGTTGAATAGATTTCATTGAAAACATGAAGGAGCAGCAGCTTGTATTTGATTGGGAGTTTTTTTTATTGTTTCATAATCAATGCCATCAACTCCCGCTGCTGAATTATTTTTAATTGAATCTAAAACTATATTGAGCTCAGCAAAATCAAAAGATTGATTAAAAAACAGATTATTGATGTCTGAACAAATGGGGAGATAATCAGGTTTCGTCTCACACCATGGAGGGCATATCCTATTAATAGTATTTTCTATTTGGGTTTGATTTTGACGATTACTACTGACGTTGGTAGGTTGAACTTGAGTCCATTTGTCTTTAAAAATGTTGCTTTTGTTCCAGACAAACTTAGAGCTAGAGTTGAAATTTATAGTTCCCGCAAACTGTTTGAAACACTCTTTTTTCTTTGTTCTGTAAATTCTTACAGCTATACAATTAATTCTATTGTAATTTATACGATCTACCATCATTTTGCTGAAATTCCATTTTTTATTTACTTTTCGCAGTCTTTTGACTTTGTTACACTCCTCGTCCCACCATGGAACAGGATTTTTTTATATTCGGAAGGGATAACTATTTTTTTAGGCGTGCTATCAATCAAACAATTTTTAACAGTATCAATAAAGGACTCATACTTGGCATTGGGTTCAGAGTTAACAAATTCGCCTGATAAAAATGTCAAGAACTTCTTTACTAGATCGGCAGTGAATTTACCCCAATCAGTACGGAATAGTGTTTTAACTTTAATAGTATATTGAAAGACAAGTGTTACAATGCGACCTATTGTAATACGACTATCTTGTGGCACGAGTGGCGACGCGAAGCGTAGCCACGAGTGTCCGCAAGATAGGAGTATTACAATAAAGCATTGTAACACGCGTTTTTCATACTATTTTTTCTATTTCGGTGCTTTAATTTAATTAAAAAAATCATTATCAGAAACTATAGGGAACATTAGAACTAACATGTTTTATGTTGGGAACGCTTTTTATGCCGTTAAGTTTTAGGTTGGCAGCGTAGTAAGGACTGACATTTTGAAGTTCAAACCAAGTACCCAACGAAGTACCTACTTGTACTAACTAGTAACTGCCAACTTAAGAGATGAGTTACCAAAAAAAAAACGACTATAATCACTGTCTTTGTACAACTGTTTTCGGCCGAAAACAGTTGTACAAAATCATCATTGTGACACCGAAATAGAAAATAGTTATTTATATAACAAGAGCGCAAAGTTCAATTTCGCGCATTGAGACTGAAGGTATTTTGACGAGGCGAAGCCGAGTTAAAATATCAGTCAAATGCGCGAAATAACTTCGCGCTAGCGTTATATACAATATTTTTTCTACAACTGAACCGATTGTTAATTAAATTGCTGTTTAAGTTCAACTTTGTCCCGTGCGCGAAATACTTTTTTTCACTGTTGACGATTTCGCGCACGTTGTCAAGAGCAACCTTACTTATTAATTAACCGATTAAAAATCTAGTACTTCGCGTTTCGAAATCCGTCAGAAAATGACAGGTTTTTTTTGACAGTTGTAGAAAAAAGACTTTTTATGGTATAAGTTTTTAACTAAGTTAATTTCAGATTTATTATTCAATGTTAATAGTGAAAAATATCGGAAGATGATCAGAGCCAAGGGGATCGTCAAAGATTATTGACTTTGTCAGCTATATCATAAGTAGAGCAAATGAGATCAATATTGGAATGATTGTTGTTAGATGGATTAATACGAGTTATCACGGTTATGTAAAAAAAGATCGTGAATCAGGGGCGGACTGGCCCGGGGGGGTGGGTGGCGATTGCCACCTGGCCCGTGGATCATAATGGCCCGTTGGAAATTTATAAGTATGTGCTGTATTTAGTTTCTTGCACTATTAATAAATTATTAGCACGTTTCTCTAATTGGGGTTGATGAAATTCTGTTTTAATGGAAGTGTTTTACAATGAATTTATCATTTTTTGTCGTAGCATGAAAGTGCTGAAATACAATGATAGGCGACGCACCTCGTGTGGATTGTATATTTTGTTACTTATGTATGTATGGTAATTTTCTATAAGAAAACTTTTTTTCCGGGTCGATCCTTTTTTAGCAAAAATCGACTACACCAAAAATTCTCGGGAAAACACTTTTTCTTATTAATTTGGGTGCGTAGAATCCAAATCAATTTGTACTTTTTCGATCAGACTTCTCAATCAAAAGTTATAGACTAGAAACCAATTTCGAAAAAAAATTCAAAGGGCTGTAACTTTTGAACTAGTAGCCCAATCTTGGAGCTGTTTGAAATTATGGATTCTAATTTCTATAAGAAAAAATTTTTTACGGGTCGATGTGAGACAATTTTTTTTTCGGGGCTCAAAAAAAGACAGTGTATAACCTTCCTTTTTTACCAAAAATCCACTACACCAAAGTTTCTCGGGAAACCACTTTTTCTTATTAATTTGGATGCGTAGAATCCAAATCAATTCGTACTTTTTCGATCAGACTTCTCAATCAAAAGTTATAGACTAGAAACCAATTTCGAAAAAAAATTCAAAGGGCTGTAACTTTTGAACTAGTAGCCCAATCTTGGAACTGTTTGAAATTATGGATTCTACAGGCCACATTCTATAAGAAATTTTTTTTCCGGGTCGCTCTGAGACAATTTGTTTTTCGGGGCTCAAAAAAAGGCAGTGTATACGTGATCATCTACGCAATTTGCGAGCTTTGCACCATTACTATTAGTATTGCGACAGTTCCAGCTTATATTGTGTAAATTAAAGAGATTCGAGACAGTTCCATCAAGATGAGAAAATATTGAATTCCACTGGACCTGTGATAAATATATCTTACATAATTCCACTTTATCATCCGGAG